CAGGTCTTCCCCTGACTGGTTCCTTCTCATGACTGGAGTCTCATCTTAAGTGTCAATCCCCAATCCCTTGACACACCTTCCTTGACCTGTTTCTGAACTGCTGCCCACACCCATAAGCCAGTTTTATTTTCTTAGCATTTATCACTATCTGATCTTTATGTATACTGCCTGTCTCTCGAGAGTATAAGTGCTTTGTGGGCAGGACATTTTCATTGTTCACTGTTTTGTATCCCCAGTGTCTGGAACACATAGTAGGTATTCAGTAAATTTCATTGAATAAGCAAATGAATGATTAAATTTGTGAATTTGTGGACACTAGTTTTCTCATAAGAGGGCTACAAGATTTAGAGGTAACATACAAAAAGTGTCTACCAAGGTAAGCCTTCAATAGGTGTTAGCTTGAGGGCTGGAACTTGCTTCACTTCCTGTTTGGGAGAAACAGTATTTATTGAGGGAGGCTTGCCTAAAGGATGAACAATCCATCCATTTCTTTAGATTCATTCATGTATTCATTCCACCAGTGTTTATTATTAAGAACCTGCCATGCGTTTAAGACATTATGGATGCAATGGTGAACAAAAGAAACCAGGGGAGGAAAAAAAAAAAAGAGTTCTGGAGTTTACATTATAGTGCAGTGAGATACACATGAACCTCAATAGGTAAAAGAGTATGTTAGTAAGTGGCAAGGGCTCTATGGAGAAAAAGGAAGGAAGGGAGAGAGGAAGTGGCTAGCCACATGGTTGCAATTTTAAATAAGATGACCAAGAATCATTTTGCTGAGCAAAACCTTGAAGGAGGTAAGGAAGCCATGTGGGTATCAGAATGGAAGTCCTGGTAAGGAGAGGAAGCAAAGTGAGGTGAGTGCCCCCAGGGCCTGGCGTTGGGGTAACCCCAAGGAGGTCAGCAGGCTTGGAGAGTGTAAGCAAAGGGTGGGGAGTAATCGGAGAGAACAGGGCAGAGCATGTGGGCCAGGAAGCCCACGGTGAGAACTCTGGGTCTTATTCCAGGTGAGCTGGAAAGACCTTGGAGGATCTGAACAGAGAAGCAACATGGTGTGATTTATATCAGGCCTGCTGGGGCTACCAGACTGTGGGTCTGCAGGGGAGAGGGCAATGTTGGAAGCAGGGAGAACATTTAAGAGCCTCTTGCAATAACTCAAGACATGACACAAAGGCTGCTCTGACAATGGCCGTAGAGGTGAAGATGGGAAAAGAAAGAACATTCAGGATACGTTTCAAGGTAGAGTCAACAGGATTTACTGATAGATGGTAGTGTGGTGGGCAGGGAGAGCCAAGAGAAGGGGAAAATTGGAAACCAAGCCCACTGAATAAACGTAATAGGATTGCTTAGCAGAATGAAAGGCCATTTTGATGTATGAGGTCATGATTTAAAACAAAACCAGCCTGGTTAGGGGTTTCTCCAACAGCATCTAGCTGTTCCAGTGCAGGCAAAGAGCAGAGAGATAGTAGAATTTGTTCAGAATTGGAGTTTGTCAAGGCAAGTGTGTCTGAGTGAGTGCAAGCCAAGGAGTTGTATTATACTGATAGATCATGGGATGCGGTCGGGTCAAGGTGGGAAGTGAAGCTCAGAGAGGGCTCACATTGGCCATGGGGGTCCTTGAGTGAATAAGCTGGGAGAAGAGAAGATTTAAAATTGAGATTTCAGATGTAGTAAAATTTCTGGTAAAGACAGGGCGGTGCGGAAGACAGAAATAAGGTCTTTGGAGGTGAGGTCAAAGAACCTGAGGCTGGAATGTTGAAGTCATCCAGGGTGAAGACAGAGTTCTGGAGTGAATACATGGAAATTTGGGGAGAATGGCGTGCTCAGAGATCATGAAACTTCCTCGCCCTTTCCCCATACCTTGCCTTGAGCCTCTCTTCCATCTGAGTTATATCCTTTTGTAACAAACCAGTGATTCAGTAAGTAAAGTTTCTCTGAGTTCTGTGGGCTGCTCTAGCAAATGAATCAAACCCAAGAAGACAAGAAAAGCTCCAATCTGTAGCCCGTGGTCAGAAGCACAGGGGATAACCCGGACTTGTGACTGGTGTCTGAGGGAGAAGAGAGCAGTCTTGTAGGATTGAGTCCTTCACCTGTGGGAGTGGGGGCTATCTCCAGTTAGAGAGTGTCAGAATCCAGTTGAATTATAGGACACCCAACAGGGATCAGAGACTTGTTGGCTGGTGGGGGAGTCTCCATCCCCTCTCCCCAGTTTAGGAATTGGGTGCTCAGAACCTTTTAGCGGGTTTTCTCCGAACCTTATATCCCTGACTCCCTCTATACAGGAGTCTGGCTCCACCTTGATGCTTTGTTTCCATGGAACCCAGTTAGTAGGGAGAGTGAGCTGGACCCAAGGTTCTTGGTTCCACAGAAGCACACTTTACAGTGAACACATTAAGAATGGGATTATAGCACTGAGGACAACATTTTCATTCTCCACTCCCCGAAATTATGGAAAATTGACAGGAAGATTCAGAATTGGTATAATAGCCGTAATTCTGTTTTTTAATATGTGAATATTTTAAGGGAAAGACTAACCCCAAGGCTAGCCAGAAGTTTTATGTGATTGAAAGATGATTCAGTGAGCCATCCGTCCAGGAAAGGAACCCAGCCTGAGATTCTGGGAGCATTCTGTGATCTGATGGGTTAAAGATGTGTTCAAAGAAGAGGAAGTTACCTAGGAATGAAATAGTCAAGATAGAAGGGTACAGCTAAATGAAATCACCGTGGTCAAAATAAAGACAAGTGTAACCATTCCGAGAATCCCTGCAGGAGCTGTAGATTTAGAAGATTATAATAGCAAGCAGAATTCTGTATTGATGTGCTGGGGTGTTCCGGGGAGGATTGGGAAACACCACGAACCCAAGACAGAACCCAAGACAAAACAGCTTGTTGTGGTAGTGATTAGGGAGGGTGAAGAGTGGGAGGCAGGTAACAGATTCATAGCCATTCTGTAGTGATAGCATCAATAATATGTGAACATGGCCTCCCAGGTGGGATTTCTCTTGCTGAAGAACCACTCCAAGAATGCAGAGAGAACAGTCTCCCTGGGAGTGGACTTGACATGAGAACCCAAGTCCAAATCTCTTTTCTTAAATAAGCAGACTCGCTTATCTCCTATTTCCTACCACAAAGGGCAGTCTGGGTCAGGAGTGAGAGATGGCCCCTCAAAGCCAGCCAGGCAGATTTTTTTTTCCTCTAAAGGGACTTAAGTCACTGTCCGTCTCCTTTCGGAAAGGTACATGTTTTCCCACAAATCATGAAATGACTAATTGATCTCTAGGGAATTTCCTTTCTCCGGGTATCCTTAAACCTAATTGTAAGATCTTAGATTCACGTGGTCATCCTTAGATTCTGAAAATAAATTAAGGGGCATCTGGGTGGCTCAGTTGGTTAAGCCTCTGACTCTTGGTTTTGGCTCAGGTCACGATCTCAGGGTTGTGGGAACGAGCTTTATGTCAGGCTCCACACTTGGCAGGGAGTCTGCTTGGGATTCTCTCTCCCTCCCACTCTCCCACTCTGCCTCTTCCCTCACGTGGACACACACACACACACACACACACACTCTCTCTCTCTCTCTAAGTAAGTAAATAATAAAATCCTAAAAAGAAATAAACTGGCTACTTACAGATATATGCAGTGCAGGACTTTTATGTGAGACTGTTGAGATAGCAATAAGGCAACTGCCAACCTCTATTATAAGCCTAATTTACTTTAGAAAAATATCCCATTATTGAAACACAAACATGCCATCAACAACTAAATTCCTCAAAGAATTATTTGAGGAATAATTTGCTTCCACTCCCTCATCTGAATTCACCTAGATCCCATTTCAAGGAATGCACATGACACAGCACAGGCCAAGAGTAGACAGGTTCCCTTGTCCCTAGAAGATAATACCAATCTGGGGGCCCTCGTATGAGGACTACCTTATCTCTCCCAGCCACCTTTGGGTAGCAGGGAAGTGAGACAGCTAGAGGCTCCTAGAGGAGCTCAAGCTAAGCCTTTGCCCACAGAGCCTTAGTAAATATTTATTAACACACAAGATGATTTGCCATATGTTCATAAGTTCCAGTCTAACAACATCATTTGAACTTGATGAATCTTCAGGGTATTCTAATCCTATCCTCTTCTGCAGAAAGGATGGTAGGGAAACCTTTCTAGAGGGCAATGAGGCACAATTTGCATTAGGAACTTAAAATTGTAGGGGCGCCTGGGTGGCTCAGTCAGTTAAGTGTCCGACTCGGTTTTGGCTCAGGTCATGATCTCAGGGTTGTGAGATCGGACTCTGCACTGGGCATAGGTTCTCTCTCTCTCAGCCCCTGCCCGCCCCCCAAAAGATAATCTAAGATGGTAATCCCACTTCTAGTAATTTACTCTAAAGAAATAAACAAAAATGCCATGATAGATGCATAAAGATGTTCACTGTAATATGTATTTGTGAAAAAAGGGCACATAAAATGTTGACTATGGAAATGGTATTACCTCTATAAGGTATCATACAACTATTCATAAATACATTTCAAATATTTAATGGTACAAAGAAATGTTTAAGATATTAAGTAAAATGGGCACCTGGGTGGCTCAGTGGGTTAAAGCCTCTGCCTTCGGCTCAGGTCGTGATCCCAGGATCCTGGGATCGAGCCCCTTATCAGGCTCTCTGCTCAGCAGGGAGCCTGCTTCCTCCTGCCTCTCTGCCTGCCTCTCTGCCTACTTGTGACCTCTATCTGTCAAATAAATAAATAAAATCTTTAAAAAAAGAAAATAAAAAAAAAGATATTAAGTAAAATGGAAGATTGAAATTATATACAGTATTGCCCCAATTTTAAAAATTATAATACATTTATACCTACAGAAAAGGACTAGAAAAAATTATACATACAGAAAAGAACTAGAAACAATTGATGTACATGGAGGAATTAAAATTTATTTTTCTTTTCTGTTTTTATATGACTTGCAAAATTTCATGTTTTATATATTGAATAATCTCTTTAGAGAGCCAGAGGCTAAGAGAACCAATATTTGAAATATCCATCATGGGGTAGCCACCGAGCTAAGAATTTTACCAATTATCTAACTTCCAGAGCAACCAGGAAAAGTAGGTCTCACAGTCTATTTTACAGGTGAGGAATGGAGGAGCCACTAACTAGACATGAGAGCTCTTTGCCCAGCGTGTCCTGGACTCAAGCCCAGGACGAGCCCATGTTTCCTGCTGCCCCACAAGCCTCACCTGCTGCGGCTCTGAGTGGGCCCATGGGAGGCTTACAGTGAAGGTCACTGACAAAACAGAACTGAGCGCAGCTTGCCCAAGAGCAAGGCCTCACTTTCTAAATTCTTCCTATCTTCTTCTGAAGGTAGAAACCACCTTCTTTATTGCGAGGCTCCATTCCGAAGCCATTTTTACCCCTGTACCCAGCTCCACTCGCCTGTGCCCTCTCTCAGAGCCTGTGTTATCTGCTGTCCTGCTGATTGGTTGGGCATGTTGTCAGGCCGTGAGCAGAAGGACAGGGCAGAGCTGCGCACCCCCACCCCTTCCACCAGCTGGCTCCTGGGTCTCTGCCCTGGATACTAAAACAAACAGGCTGTGTGCTCTGGTTCCCTACTCAACCCAAGGGGGTGGGGGGGGGGAGAGTAGCAAATATCCCAGCCATGAACAATCAGGAGTATCTGGCAGCACTTTTGATCTTTTATACCTTTATTTCAGCCAAAGAGTCACGGCTTCCAGGCAGCCAGGAGGCCGTTGTACCCCTAAGTCTAATGCTCAGCTGGTTTCAGGTATGGCCTTGGTAAGGGGTGCCCAACTCCCCAGCTGGCTCTGTTCCAGAGAAATCTCCTGTGACACTAATTGTAAACTCTCATGGAAGCAGGGGGGAGTTTCTCTCCCCTGTTCCAGGGTTCTTCATTGCTTCCTGCTCGCTCCCAGAGGCAAAGAGAGGAAGCCTCTTTGATGGGGTCACGGCAAGTCAGTGACATTCAGGATTGGAACGTGCTGCCTGGATCACCACTTTATCCTCCAGCAGTGCAGTTCCTGACTAAAACAACAACAACAACATAACTACTTATGTTCTTTGATCTGGGAAGAGGGAGAAGGGGACATGGGGAATGGCACATGGCCCACCAAGAAACAATGGGAATAACCTGGTCCTTTCGGATTAAGACCACATCTCTTTCTGCACCCACATAAGAGGACTGCATGTTCAAGAGAGGTGGAGAAATACTGGGTTAAAGTAAAGCAGATTAAATTACCGCAGGACTTCTCAGAACCTTTAGTGTGCTCATGTATACTATGCAGGGGGTGTAATGGGAAGTGTTTCTTAAACACAGTCAACCATAAAACTCATGAGTCTGTAGGCACTGGGATTTCAATGAACACGCTTTGAGAAATATTTCTCCAGGGTGAGCCCATAGGGATCCTGTGAAGATAGGAAAGTAAGGCCCATCACAAACCTCCTCCCCAGCCAACAGTCAGTCTTTAAAACTGCAGGCTGAACCAACCAAAGGTATCATTCTGCATTCTCCTCTCTGCACCTGAGCAACAGCTTATGGTATTTTTCCACTTGCTGGTCGAAGTCCCTAGAAGAGAACCGTGCTTGGAAAAAGTTCACTGGAGTCAGAAGGTATTTTAGTGCTAGGCCCCTGAACTCAGGAGCCAGGAGAGGAGCAGCCTTGCTGCTGTGAGACAGGAGAGACTCCCGGCCCAGCCAGGTGTTCTGGTTCCTTGTGGCCGCTGAGCCATCGTGGTTTCCCCTGGGTACCAAGTGGGGCACTACACCACTTTCTTCCCCAGTTTCTAGAGAAAGAAAGTCCTCATCTGTCGACTCTAAGTGCACTGAAAGACTTGCAGTCTGTACAGTCACCATCTTCGGGGACTCAGAGATAGGGACTGCCCCATCCCATTCTTTGCTGCAGAGGTCCGGGAACAACTGTTTCTTGATCTGCAAAGGATGGTGGGAAGCCTGCTTCTCAAGGTCCCCAGGAAGGTTCTCATTCTTTGCCCTCTTTGAGTCCCTGTCAGCTTGAGATTGATCAGCAGTTTCCTGAGAGGAGTTAAACACGACGCCCTGGGTTCGTGGCCTCCTTAGCCTCCTTTCTAACAACGGCCAGAGAAAGCTTGGTTTCTTTGAGGAGGAATTCATATATTGCTGCACAGAGTCTGGGATCAGAGGCACAGAGAGCCTGGGGTTCAGGCTATCCTGAAAGTAGTCCCTACAGGGCTGCCGACTGACAATGGGCACCACCCGGCCAGGCTTCAGCGCTGCAACAAAGGTCCGAAGCTCTGAGTAAGAGGAATGGTCAGAGTAAGGGATGACGTGGATGTCGGGGTGGGAGCAGCGGATCTTCCGGCTCGTGGGAAGGATAGCAATGGTAGGGTGGGTCTGGTTCCAGTGCAGCATGGCAGAATGGCAGACCTCCATGTGGTCCACCGCATGGATGCGGCCGGCCTTCTCCTCCACTGTGAACACATCCGCCAGGCCCAGCAGCTGCACCAACTCCAGGCGCCGAGGACTCAATACCACCCAGGTCTGAAACTCCAAGGCCAGCTGCTCCAGCAGTGACTCTTTTCCCAGGCTATAGAGTCCTGAAGCATGTTAAAAGGAATGGGAAAAGCAAGAAATGAAAGAGAGGAGATACCGGGGAATCCTAATACGTCACCCAAATGTTTCATAAAAATACACAAATGGGGCAATCGGGGAGTGTTTCAGGGAGGAGGTGGGATTTGAGCTCAAATACATGGAAAATGGGGAAGGGCCTACCACTGATTCCACCCACTGGTTTGGTTCAACAGAGGAAAGCATTTACCAGATGCTAGGCACTGTGAAAATAAGCACAAGCCTCAGTCCTCAAGGAGTATAATCTACATGGGGACTCAGAGGCCATGTCAGAGACATGCACACAGTATTATGAGGGCACAGAAAAGTTATCTACCAGTTGACAGAGTAGGGAAACTTCCCTGAAAATGGCAACTGAGTTGTCCTAAAGGATGGGTCTGAGTTTACCTGGCAAGGGAAGGGGATGGTTCAGTGTTACGAATGTGCCAAGAAGGAACTGGTAAGAAATGACACAGGAGGGAAGGGTCGAATAATACAGGGCCCACATATATTGCTCAGGAGTTTGAACTTAATTCTGTTAAGTGAAGGGGAGCCATTAAAGAGCATGCAGCAGGAAAATGGCTTATTTTATTTTATTTTTTAAAAATGATTACTTGGGGCGCCTGGGTGGCTTAGTGGGTTAAGCCTCTGCCTTCGGCTCGGGTCATGATCCCAGGGTCCTGGGATCAAGCCCCGCATCGGGCTCTCTGCTCAGCGGGGAGCCTGCTTCCCCTCCTCTCTCTCTCTGCCTGCCTCTCGGCCTACTTGTGATCTCTTTCTCTGTCAAATAAACAAATAAAATCTTAAAAAAAAAAAGACTACTTATTTATTTGTTTATTTATTTGACAAAAACATAGCAAGAGAGGGAACACAAGCAGGGAGAGTGAGAGAGGGAGAAGCAGGCTTCCTGCCAAGCTACCATCAGGGAGCCTGATGCGGGGCTCGATTCCAGGACCCTGGGATCATGACCTGAGCTAAAGGCAGGCACTTAACGACTGAGCTGCCAAGAGCCCCGAAAATGGCTGACTTTAATCACAGGAATAATATGATCAGAGGAGAGCTTGAGAAGACAAAAATGGCAGGAGTGTTACTGGATCACCTAGATGAATAGATGCTGAAATCAGCAGTTAGAAGGCCCCCAAATGAGGGCGCCTGGGTGTGTCATAAAGGATGGGTCTGAGTTTACCTGGCAAGGGAAGGGAACACCTGCCTGTGCTCGGTTAAGCACCCGATTTTTGATGGGCTCAGATCATGACCTCAGGGTTCTGAGATCAAGCCCTCAGTGGGTTCCAAGCTCAGCATGGAGTCGGCTTGAGATTCTCTCTCTCCCTCTGCTCCTTCCCCTCCTCATGTGTGCTTGCACACTGTCTCCCAATAAATAAAATTTAAAAAAAAAGAAAAAAAAGGCCCCGAAATGTTTTATACTATTATGGAATTGCTAAAACAATGTTTCTGATTTCTCAGTGTGTCTGATTTTAAGCACAGCATTCACCTGAATATCTATATTCTGATAAATTTCCCGGGTGGCTCAGTCAGTTAAGTGTCTGCCTTTGGCTCAGGACATGATCCCAGAGTCCTGGGATTGAGTCCCTCATCGGGCTCCTTGTTCACCAGGGAGCCTGCTTCTCCCTCTGCCTGCCACTCCCCCTGCCTGTGCTCACTCTCTCTTTGACAAATAAATAAATAAAATCTTTTTTTTTTTTTTAGTTTCTTTTATTTATTTGACACAGAAAGACACAGTGAGAGAGGGAACACAAGCAGGGGGAGTGGGAGAGGGATAAGCAGGCTTCCCGATGAGCAGGGAGCCCGATGTGGGGCTTGATCCCAGGACCCTGGGATCATGACCTGAGCCAAAGGCAGATGCTTAATGACTGAGCCACCCAAGCACCCCAAATAAATAAAATCTTAAAAAAAAATTTCACTCACTCAGATAACAAATATTGAGTGCCTCCTTAGGCATTAATCTAAGCATTTGAGATATAGCCACAAGTAAAACAAAGAGCCCTGCCATTGTGGAACTTATATCCTAGCAGGGGTAGATAGACAATAAAAATCAAATACAGCAATATGCAAATTGTGGAATACATTATAAAACAGTAAGTGCAATATTGGCCCTCCTATTTAAAACCTTCAATAACTTTTGCCCAAATATAATCATTTAGATCAAGTTACATTCAAGGATTACATTTAGGATCAAGTTCAAGCTTACAAGCGAGCACTTTAGCCCCTCCTACCTTTATAGCCTCCTCACCCACTGTGTGCCTGTCATGCTGGCTGCTACTTCTCTGTTCCACATGCAAGACTCCTTCCTACCTCCATCCATGTTCTCGAGGAGTTTGTGTGTGTGTGTATGGCAGGAGACGTGGAGAATAGACAAATAATAAGCAACGGCATATTAAAACATGGACAGAGTATACTGGAAGGTGATGAGTGCTATTAAAGAATGAAAAAATTGAGTTGGTATAGGGGATCAGGAGTTGGGAATGTCGCAGTAGAGATGGTGGGAAGATTGCATTTTTTTTTTTCAAAGATTTATTTAGAGAGAGAGTACACACATGGGGGTGTGGGGATGCTGGGCGGTTGGGAGGAGCAGAGGGAGAGACAGAATCTTAAGCGGATTGGGAGCTTAGCTCGGAGCCCTAGTCAGGGCTTGATCTCATGACACTGAGATCACGACTTGAGCCAAAACCAAGAGTCAGAGGCTTAACAGACTGAGCCAATCAGATGCCCTGGGAAGATAACAATTTTAGATAAGGTTTCAGGGGTAAGGAGGGGATCTACAAAGACCAGAAAGATATGAGAAACCCCCCAAAACCCAAGATTCACTATGGGTAAAAGAAAAAGGAAAGGAAACCACTTACCAATCTTTATGTTATGCTGGGGGTGCTTTCGAATGAGCTCAACAATCTGGCGGGCAGCTTCTTGTCGGGAAGGAAGAATCCAGGCTGGGTTACAATTGGTGTTGTCTAGGTATAAGGTATGGATCTGTTTCCCCAGTTTCAGGGCTGGCTCCTTTAACATGGATGGTGTATACCGAAAGTCACCTAGAAGAAGAATATATGGGGAGCAGAGAGTCAGTGACAAAAGTATAAAACACAAGCCTCTCCCAGCTTCCAACAGCTGGTGGACATTTGCTTACCAGCCTGTGCAAAAACTCATAGGAAGTCTGGCACTAACATAGTATAGCTTCTTTTTGGAAAGGTCTGAATTCTGCTTCTGTTTTTATTATTCTTTATAAGGTTTGAAACCTTAAAGAGTGGGAAATCAGTTGAGAAAGGGTCACTATGCTCATATGGGATGAAGCTAGGAGGTCTCCAGACTTCTGAGTTAAGGCTGCTCAAGAAAAAGTAGTGTCTAGGCTGGGAAGGTGGGAGGGACCCCTTGGAAGGCCCACCTGTGTAGAGGATGGTTCCAAAGTATCCTTCAAAGAGAAACATGACAGAACCAGGGCAGTGATTGGCATCAATGAGGGTTACAGTCATGGTCTCCCGCCCAATTTCATCTAGAGGCAGGACATGGCTCTCACCAACCTCCAAGGCCCGGATCCACGCCTTAGGTACCTGAGGAAAAAGTTGGTCATTCTAGTGAACACAAAATCTCCTGCTTGATACTGCCCTGAATCAGGAACTAACCCTTTACTGAAATCAGGGAAAGCAAATGACATCCTAAGCTACCCAGGAGCAGAAGGTCTAACTGACAGTCCCCTCAAATGCTCCCTTCTTCCTCTCACTCTCCCTTCCCACCCTTCGTACAATTTAAATTAAGAGTCCAAAAAACAGTCTAGCCAAGCGATTCTCAAACATTTCTGATCATAACAGTCCCTTGACGGGCACCCGTTAAAAAAATTCCAACCAGCTATCCAGTACCTGCACCAGCTAGATCTACTGGAAGGGGGGTGGGGGGAGAACTGAAGAATGTGTCACCCAGCACTTTAGGTGGATTCTTGAGACTAGACATACACTAGCCTAGTTTATCTGAAAACGTAGGTACAGTCTCCTTGGCTGGACAGAAAGATCTCCCCAACTTATAGCTGAAACATCCACATTTCTGGGTTCGAACAACTCCCACATTTGTAAAAATCAGTCCTCCAGGCCCCTACTCTACGAGTCAGGCTGTGACAGATCGGGATTCCCACCCGAATGCTCGTCCCAGCTCTCGGAGGACTCCCGCCCCCTGCCCCGTACCTGCAGGTGACGATGCACGAGGTAAGCAGTGATTGGGGAGCAGTAGAGGGGCCGGGCCCAGGTGCTAGACAAACCCACGGTGTGGTCCGAGTGCATGTGGGACAAAAAGAAGAGCCGTGCGGAACCGGCCCGGCGCAGGCTCCAAAAGTCCACAGCGATGGGCGTATGGGGGATCAGGGCCCCGTTCATGGTGGCGGGGCTGGAGAGTCACCAGCGAGATCTTCATGGGCACAGAGCTCCCGCGCGAGGCTCCCGCGACCGCGCCCTGAAGGTAAGTCACGCTGGGGCAGCCACGCGGCCAAAGACCCTAACGGGAAGCCAGGCCAGCAGAGGACTACTAGGTCCCGAGCGTGGGCAAAAAGAAGGAAGTGGCGGTGCTCCTGAGAGTCCCGGGGGGAATCGCAAACCGCGGACGACGCTCCACTGAGCGCCACTCCTACCCGCGCGCGGGAGCCGGCGCTGAGGCCGGGCGCTCAAAGCGCGCGCTGCTGGGAGGAGACAGGCCGAAGCAGCGGATTTCCGAGGGCCCGCCGCGCCTCCACCAGAGGGAGCCGCGCGGCTGCGCCGGGAGGTGAAAGGCGGGGGAAGGGCGCCCTAAGGTCGGCGTCCGGGCGGCGCTCGGCGCTCGTTGCGAGAAGGTGAGTGGCAGCCGCCGCGCGCGGGCGGCCCCCGAGGAGGCGGGACTTCCGCAGAAAGCTCGATTGGGCCTATCCCGGCGGGCAGCCGCGCGGAGGCGCACCGAGGGCTGGAACTGGCGAGGGAGGATTCAGCGGACCTCCGGCGGCGGGGCTGGAAATGGGGCGGAGGGTCTCGAAGTAGCAGGAGCGGTTTCGGGAGGAGCGAGCCGGCCTGCAGGTCCCGGGAAAGAACCGCAGAGCCTCGTTCGGGGCTCGCCGGGGCGCGGAGAGGGTTGGTGTGAGAGTGCTTGGGCCTGGGCTGCGGCCCCCGGGGAAGCCGAGGCTGGGGTGAGGTCACGCCTTTGGTCTCGCTTACTGACATTTGCTTTACCCAGGTTCCCTCGTCAGGGCTAGGAGGAGCTCGCGAGTTACCTAGGGGTTCTGTGGGGGCTGCCTGGTGACTGTCGAAGATGCCGTACCTTGGCTCCGAGGACGTGGTGAAGGAGCTCAAGAAGGCTCTGTGTAACCCTCACGTTCAGGCCGATAGGCTGCGCTACCGGAATGTCATCCAGCGAGTGATTAGGTATCAGCTACCGCCCGCACTCCCCGCGGCGGCCCCCATCCGGGACCCCACCCCTGGCCGCTCGGAAAGTGTGAATGAACCCAGGGCAGGGTGTGATTTGGTCTTCCCGCTTCTCTGGATGGCCACGGCAGCCTCCCTTGTGGCACTTGCTTGACTTCGTTTACTCAGCAGGGTGGTTACACCCATGTCTTGAACTTAGACTGCTGACTCCCAGATCTATAGAGTCTAGTACAGAAAGCCTTTTGTATCTTCAAACCCACATACCTACTGCCTGCTGGGCATTCCCATCTGGATGTTTCTTCAAAGACATGCAAAGTAGCACCTGCATCCTTCCCCTCTCCCCAAACCTGCTCTTCCGCTTATATTTGGGTTGAGGAATGTCACCGTCCTGCTAACCAAGGGAGGAAGTCAGTCTTGATGACTCCTGGTTTTCACTTCTCGAGTCAGATGGTATGGATATATAGTTCTAAATATCCATCCTCTTCCCCCCCCCCCCCCCCGCCAAGAAAATGTCTATTCATTTCTTTTTTGTTGGCACCGCTGTTCTGGTTTTATTACCAAAGCAATTGAAGTGGCTTCCTAGGTCACCTTGCCACCTCATTTTACTCCGAAGTTTCCTAACATGAGTTTGAACGTATAATTCTTGGCTGTAGTTGTGGATGCACAAAAGTCCCTTGGGATGCTTTAAAAAAAATGTACAATTTTCATCCAATCCAATAATGCTGCTTTCAGTCGGATGGGATGGAACCCAGGAATATGCATTTTAAACAGACATCCCATCTGATTCCTGTAGGAGACCAGGCTTGAGAAACGGATCTACAGAAGGAAATCCAAACTTCTTATCCTAGCACCCCAAGAACACCCTAACACAACTACTTGCAGACTCTTAAAGAACGTAGTATTCTTGCTGATGTCTACACGTCTCATAGCATGCATTACGTATTTTATGTATGTGTAATGTATTTTACTACTACACCTGCCTAGAAAATTCCAGCTCATTCAACTAACGTGTTACTTCCTATTGGAAGTGTTTTATGATTTCTTGTCAGTATTAGACTTCTGGATCCCCACTGCACTTTGTCTATTACTTCTTTTTTTTATTTTAAGATTTATTTATTATTTGGAGGGGGGGAGAGGTAGAGAGAGAATCTCAAGCAGGCCCCCTGCTGAGCTCAGAACTGATGTGGAGCTTGAATTCACAACCCTGAGATCATGACCTGAGCTGGAACCAAGAGTCAGATGCTTAACCAACTGAGCTACCAAGGTGCCCCAACCTTGTCTATAACTTCAGTTTTAATACTTACCTGTTTTAATATTTACCTATTGTACTGTATTTAGTGGTGTTTTTGTCTTGCTCCTTAGTTATACTTCAAGTTTCTAAAGATCTGAGACCAGGCCTTCTTCAGGTTTATGCCCCAGAACATATCCCTGGAATGTAGAAGCTGAATTAGACTGGAATGTACCAGGAATTCAATAAATGTTTGTTAAATGCATAGAAGAATGTTTATTATAGGTCCATGGTGTGAAGTATTGTGCAATGTAATAGACAAGATAGACTTGGTTGCTTCCTTCACAATCTAGTTGGATAACCAGGATGTGTATAGATAAAATGTCTTTCATTGTAGGCTGTGGATTATGTATTTTACTTCTGCTGTGTGTGTTGGTTTCAGGCACATGACTCAGGGCTTGGACATGTCTGGTGTCTTCATGGAAATGGTGAAGGCCAGTGCCACCGTAGATATTGTTCAGAAGAAGCTGGTTTATCTTTACATGTGTACATATGCCCCCCTGAAACCAGATCTGGCTCTCTTGGCCATTAATACGCTGTGCAAAGACTGTTCGGATCCCAATCCAATGGTGCGAGGGCTGGCACTACGAAGCATGTGTAGTCTCAGGTGAGTACCCTCTTCTCTGACTGTTTATCAGTGGCTGATGGATTCAGGAGACCATGGGAAAGGTTTTCAATGGTGATAATCTATTTGAACTTCTTAATACTAGAGAAAATGTGCTTGTAACTTGAACCCAAGTTTTCAGCCATTGCTTAGACTTAAAAAACTATGTCACATTACATTAAATGTCACATGTTACATTAAAGGGAATTTTCCATCCTCACTCTTGCTAAAATAGTTCTTGATTTTGGTTAATGATTTCTAAACAATTATGTAGATAATGTATTTTTGCTGCCCTTGTAGTAGTATTCTAGATGAAGAGTCAACTATGACTTTTTAAGTTTAGCAGTGGCTTTCCATAATTCTTTATTCTCTTTTAAAGATTTTATTTACTTATTTGACACAGAGAGAGAGAGATTGAGAGTAGGAACACAAGCATGGGGGAGTGAGAGAGGGAGAAGCAGGCTTTCTGCCGAGCAGGGAGCCCGATGCAGAGCCCAATCCCAGGACCCAGGGATCACGACCTGAGCCAAAGGCAAAAGCTTAACAACTGAGCCACCCAGGCGCCCCTCCCTAATTCTTTATGATGTGATAGTTGTACATTCAAACATCTACTAAACTTTGTTAAGTGAATAGGAGCTGAGTTCCATCAAAGCTAGCATTTCAGGATCTGGCTGACTCCAGTATGTGTTGCTTAGGATGCCTGGTGTGCAGGAATATATCCAACAGCCCATTCTCAGTGGTCTGCGAGATAAAGCTTCATATGTCAGGAGGGTGGCAGTTCTTGGTTGTGCCAAGATGCATAATCTTCATGGAGACTCTGAAGTGGGTAAGTTTCAGTGTAATCTGTCATGACCAGTATTTATTTTTGCCTCAGTTACATGTATGACTTCATAAAAGATGACGTGACTTCGGGAGAAAATAGTAATGTGGCCTTACTTCTGTACTTGTCTCTTTAAGTAGAAAGGCCGGTTTGGTATTTTTTGAGATCACAGAAGCCTTTTCTCTGGGGCTCAGGTGAGATCCATCACGTTAGCTACTTAGAACAGTCTGCAGATGGCAATTTTTTGCCTTGCACTTTATTAATGCCTTTGTTATTTTTGTAGCAGAGAAGTTCAGCTTTGTCTGCCTGGAGCTAGTACTCTGGCTCTGTTCCTGAGACAGTGAAGCTGTTAACTTTATCTGAGATCTTTGTGCTCTTTTATAGACGGTGCTCTGGTAAATGAATTATACAGTTTGCTGCGTGACCAGGATCCAATTGTGGTTGTGAACTGCCTGAGGTCTCTAGAGGAAATTCTGAAACAGGAAGGAGGCGTTGTTATCAACAAGCCCATCGCCCACCATCTCTTAAATCGGTTTGGATGCCTCGGTGCTCTCTTTGTTATGATGAGATCTGCATCCTAGTGGGATCATGACATGTTGAATCAAGGAGACATTTTGAACAACTTCTGTAGAGTAGTAAAGTTAACCATGACTATTAGCTTCCTCGTATTTCACTGAGAGGATTTCTTTATTTGTCTTAGTTTCTTTTGGTGGTATAGAGAGATGGCAGAAATATCCCTTGGAAATAGGTTCTGTCCTCCCTTACAATCATTATGTCCCCCAAACTAAGTGATTTATACTGTCTTAAACTGTAAAGACTCTGGATCTAGGTCCAGTGATCATGGTCCTTGGCCTTAGATGATGAGAATTTGTAGTATAAACTCATCTCGGAATTGAAAGCCAATTTTGTGTAAACTTTAAATAGCACATGAAAAAGAATAATTCTATTATGGCACAGCCTGTTTTCAAGAATTCTCTCCTTGTTATGATGAACAGATGACTGGTGACATGACATTTGCATGCAGATGGTCCTGATTTGGTTGCTGAAATAACACTCTTCTTTTCTTTTTTGGATAGAATGCCAAAACTGGACCAGTGGGGCCAGGCTGAAGTATTGAACTTTCTGCTACGCTATCAACCCCGCAGTGAGGAGGAGCTGTTTGACATTCTCAATCTGCTAGATAGCTTTCTCAAGAGCAGTAGCCCCGGTGTGGTGATGGGAGCCACGAAACTCTTTCTCATCTTGGCAAAAAAATTCCCCCATGTACAGACGGATGTGCTTGTGCAAGTCAAGGGCCCTCTGCTGGCTGCCTGTTCTTCGGAGAGCCGCGAGCTCTGTTTTGCTGCCCTGTGTCATGTGCGTCAGATCTTGCACAGTTTGCCCGGGCACTTTAGCAGCCACTACAAAAAGTTTTTTTGCTCCTACTCGGAGCCCCACTACATCAAGCTGCAGAAGGTGGAGGTGCTGTGTGAGCTGGTGAACGATGAGAACGTACAGCAGGTGCTAGAGGAGCTCCGAGGGTACTGTACTGACGTGTCAGCCGACTTTGCCCAGGCCGCCATCTTTGCCATAGGTAGGGGTCTGCTGCTTTTCCTTTTGGAGACCTTCGGCTAACCAGATACCTGTGGAATCATGGAGACCAAAAGGGAACGAATCTTGCATCAGAGACAAATTACCACGTACCAAATTACCATGGGGTCAGTGGCCACAGACAAAAGTGGGGAGGGAAGGGTTTTTTTGGCATCACTGGTGTTGCCTTATCTTCTAGGATAGAGAATACAGGTAACTCAAACTAGAGTAATTAACATTTATATGGCCTTTTCTTGGGTACTATCCAGAATGCTTTCCCATATATCATCTTAGCAGTCTTGGGAGGCAGTCAGGAAAAGTAGGAAGGTGTTATCACGTCATTTTAGAGATGAAGAAACTCAGAAACAAAGAGTTTTTTAAGTGGCCAAAAGGTCATGTGGTTCCTGACCCGGGGTCAGAACCAGGCTTTCCAGACTCAAAGTCCTGTGTCAACTGGCCAGTTGTTTATTGAGCTTCTACTATGGGCTATGCATTGTGCTGAGTACAGACCAACACAATAAATCCTAAATCTTACAGGCTTTTTCATATTTGTCTGGAATTCAGAAGGCCAGACTGAGTCACAAAATGAAAGCAGCCCGGGAGCTATGTTTTGTTGGAGGACATCAAGTAGAAGAGGAGAAGGAACCCTTATGTTAGAATGAAGAATGAATATTTTCAGGGGCAGGAAGAGTGAACAAATCGGAGAGCAGAGCTCCTGTGGTCAGGTGTTCGCTCCTGGCAGGGCCATTCCTGTGAGGTGCTCTGAAGCCCACAATGCCTCTTATCTGGCTGCCGCGCACATACCTTTGTTGCTGAAGGTTTTCAGCCTTGTTCAATGGAAAAATTCACTTTTACCAAACATAGGAAACTTAGGTTGTTACTTCATCAAGCAAGGGGTGGTTTTTTTTGGTGGTGGTGGTTGTTAAGATTTTGCCACTCTTCTTTGTCTTTGACTGGTGGCAAGTTTTTTTAAAATGAGGTGCTAAGATTTGACTTACCACTTTTCTCTGCTTTCCGTTCTCCTGTAGGTGGGATTGCCAGGACCTACACAGACCAGTGTGTGCAGATTCTAACAGAGTTGCTGGGGCTTCGGCAAGAGCACATTACCACAGGTAATGGCTGGCTACCCTTTGGGCTTTTTTTTTTTTTTTTTGGCAAATGCCTGCCCTGTTGCAGTTTCTTAAAAAAAAAAAAAAAATTATCGTTGTGTAACAGAGATTTAAGTTTTTCTTTACATCCTCATGTGCTGCCATCAGAGAAGCGTAGGGTCTGTAGATCTGACGGAGAGGGTCTTCAGGTTGCCATAACTCTGCAAGGCTGTTCTGTAGATAATGAAGGCTACCAGAATGCCCGGGCTTGTTAACTCCCCACCCTCACCCCTCTTTTCGCTTTATGACAGCAGAGGCTTCCAGGACTGAGACTAGGGTGAGGCAAGCAAGGTACCCAGGATGCAAGAGGCACTCACTCTCAGGCTTATGCAAATGCTAACCCTGCATGGGTTCAGTTTTACACCCCCAGCGCTTCATTTGCCTCACCCTAGTCCCACCCGTGGTGGCTCCATTTAAACTCTCTTCCAAATATCATTCAACAATAACATGACCTCACATTTGCTTTACATTTTACCACGTGCTTTTGCATATATGAGCTCCTTGATCCTCATGGCCAATCCGATAAGAGCAACACCGATTTAAGAAATTATTGCCCGTGTCAGACATTTCTCAGAAAATCACTGACCACCCCTCTGACACCCATTTTACAGAAATTCACGTGGCAGTCTAGTCTGAATTTGTGACTTCTCTTAAGATTCTTTCTTGTGTGGAGCCTCTAATCCTATGCTCTTGTATCCTGAGCTGTGTTGTAGTGGTGGTGCAAACTTTCCGAGACCTGGTTTGGTTGTGTCCTCAGTGTACGGAAGCTGTGTGTCAGGCCCTGCCTGGCTGCGAGGAGAACATTCAAGACAGTGAGGTAAATGGCAAATTCTCTTTTATCTCCAGGCAGAGGGGAAATTGTTGGGACCCTGCTCTGTGAAATGGAACCTAATTCTTCTTTCTACTCGGTGTCTGAATATGGAAGTTCTTAGAATTGATTGCCACCTCAGATTCTCTTTGGGTGTAGTTAGGGTAGAAGTGATAAAAACATGAGATTTATCTATGATTTTTGCTACAAATGCTTTGATATCATTGTTTTCTTGAACAGTGTTGAACCAGAGATTTTAGACTATGGAGTGTTCAGCTGTAATGAGAATCAGAATCATTTGTGGATATTGGGGCTTCACTGCAGGTCTGCCAATTTAAATACTCAGGAGTGCTGGGCCTAGACACATAGATTTTTAAGAAGCTTCCCAGAGGTCTCCGATTTGCACTCTAGGTTAATTACCATCTTCTTGAAGTGGTTTAGAGCGCTCTTTCAATAGCTTCCACTGACATATTAAACCCCAGACTGGGCCAGAGGCCCCCACACTGAGGAAGCCTCATTATATAACCAATGCAGGCTCTGGGAGTCTTGAGTCTCCTTTTGTGTAGTGACATTTTATTCCTATTTGTTGTAGAGAGTGCAGTCGGGGTGTGGGGGATCGATAACAATGCAAATTGAAGTAAATAAAAGATGATACCTTTTCTGCTGACGTTGTGGGGAACAAAACCCGTTACTGTGTTTGGTACAGTCAAATGGCAAGGACCTGCTCTCACTTCTTCATTCCTCAGGGGAAACAGGCACTTATTTGGCTCCTTGGTGTCCATGGGGAGAGAATCCCCAATGCTCCGTATGTGTTGGAAGACTTTGTGGAGAACGTGAAGTCAGAGACTTTTCCAGCTGTGAAGATGGAGCTACTCACTGCACTGCTGCGCCTTTTCCTCTCCCGGCCTGCCGAGTGCCAGGACATGCTGGGGCGTCTGTTACATTACTGCATAGGTAGGTTCTCCAGAAGGAAACTGTACTTGCCATGTCAGATAGGAAACATTCTGACAGCTGACACTATTTGGTGAGTCATGCTGGGGACCCAAGAAACCACGTTAATGTTCTCTAAGATTTCCTCCCTCCTTTCTTTTTTCCCCCATTCCAGTTGGCACAGGGTAGAAGGAGTGTTTTGGTTTTGTTTGTAATTAACTCAAGTCTTTGTCTTACCTCAGAGGAAGAAAAGGATATGGCAGTACGAGACCGGGGCCTCTTCTATTATCGCCTTCTCTTAGCTGGCATTGATGGAGTGAAGCAGATCCTGTGTAGTCCTAAATCTGACCCTTCTCTTGGACTTTTGGAGGATCAGGCAGAAAGACCTGTGAATAGCTGGGCCTCAGACTTCAACACACTGGTGCCAGTCTACGGCAAAGCCCGCTGGGCAACCATCTCTAAATACCAGGGGCCAGAGCGTCGGGGCCCAGAGCTTCCTAACGCTGCATCCTTTGCCACTTCAGGTAGAAATAGTCCTTACTTTACATCTTGTGAAAAATCTTTACCTTTCGCAATGACTGGTAGGAAGTAGAGTACCCTAGCTATGGCTCAGACTGTGGCCTGAATTTGAAGTCTTCGTGAGCAAGAAAGAAGTTCCTCATTGGCTATTTCAACCATTTGTCCAAAGATAAAAGTCACACTGTGTACTTATGGAAATCTAGATTAAAAAAACATAGTTTAGGGGCGCCTGGGTGGTTCAGTTGTTAAGCATCTGCCTTCTGCTCAGGTCATGATCCCAGGGTCCTGGGATCCAGCCCCGCTTAGGGTTCCCTGCTCAGTGGAGAGCCTGTTTCCCCCCCCACACCCCCCACACACCACCGCTCGTGTGGTCTCTCTCTGTCTCTCAAATAAATAAAATCTTTTTCAAAAAAACACAGTTGGTATAGATTAAAAAGATCTCTTACACAAGCTTTCTAACTCTTTCAGGTCCCCTGATTCCTGAAGAGAGCAAGGAGACGGTTCAGGAACTTCCTGATTCTGGAGCCCTCATGCTAGTCCCCAATTGCCAGCTGACTGCTGAGTATTTTGAGAAAACTTGGTTTAGCCTGAAAGTTGCTCATCAGCAGGTGTTCCCTTGGCGGGGAGCCGTCCATCCCGACACCCTCCAGATGGCCCTACAAGTAGTGAACATCCAGACCATCGCAATGAGCAGGGCTGGGGCTCAGCCATGGAAAGCCTACCTCAGTGCCCAGGATGACACTGGCTGCCTGTTCCTTACAGAACTGCTCTTGGAGCCCGAGAACTCCGAAATGCAGATCTCTGTGAAACAAAACGAGCCAAGGACTGAGACACTGAATAGTTTTATTTCTGTATTAGAAACTGTGCTTGGAACAATTGGAGACATAAAATCATAACAGATTCTTGCTGCTTGTCCTAGGTGAGATGAGTAGCTATCAGAATTCCTAGGTTTTTTTTTTTTTTTATTAGAATTTGCTTTTAAATCCAGATGCTATCAAATACAAACGAGAATGGACAATCTCAGAATCAGGATTTTTATGTTTTTGTCCAAAGACTATTGACTTAGTCCTCTCATACCTATAGGTGAATGACCCCATTTTCTAGGCGATGTCGAAAGGTTAATGTTGGTAAGGGGATGGGGAGGGACTGAGGATAGGATTTGGATTCTTTTCTAATCCATTATAGGGATTGTTTTACTAAAGATGCCTGATGTTTATGGAAACTGATAAAGTCATCGTTTGTGGGGATCATCTTTTCTTCCCTGTATTACTGCAATAAATTCCTCACTGGTCTCCTGTTTCTAATCATGCTTTTCAAGGCCAGAGTCCAAAGTCTTTAGTGCGGCGTCAGAGGTAACTCTTCAGTGTCTTGTCTCACCGCTCGCCCGAACACCCTGTTCTTGCATCGGCAAACAACTTGGCCTTCCTTGAATGCACAAGGCTCTCTCTCACCTCTGTGCTTTGCTCCTGCTTTTATTGCTTGGCTAGAACGTTTCCTCACCCTCATATCTTCTTTCTTTAGGCAGCATCTAGTCCTTGTCTCTCAGCGTTCTGCTCAGTCACGAGCTCTTGCAGGAAGTTTTCTGTGACCCTTATTGCTTTCATTACAGGTTCTGTCAGGCTGTCAAGGCCTCCAGTGCGTGTGTCTAGCAGGACAGTTGTAATTGTTTTCTGTCACTCTTCCTTGCTTTCAGTTTAATTCATACCTGCCCACATTTTCTACATTAACTGAGGCAACTTATGGTGAGAGCAGATGCCATAGGATGGCTTAAAGTATAAATAGTAAAGTATAAATAACCAGAGGATCCACAACAGGGAAGATGAAAATACCATCTCAGACCAGCTTAGTTAGGGATGGGGAAGTACACAAGTGTTCAGGCTTAAGGGCTGACATAATTGGTACAGTTGAGCCTCAAATTTAGCTCTAAGTGATTTGGCTGAGTGAAGAGAAATAGGTATAAAGTCGTCATTAGAGAGGAAGAGACCTTCCAATATTAATTTCCAAAAGAAATTTACATGTAGTTTCACATAGGTGACACGGGGAAAAGTACAAGATTCTTATGGAAGTCAGTAATGGGTTTCTTATCACTTATGGTGTTCTTCAGTGAAAGCAGAGAGCATGACTTTAACATGGACCTTAGTGAGCACATTTCTTCAAGGACTTAAGATAACACAATCTAAATATCTAGCTTAATTCAAGGACTTCTACCACGTAGATACATAAATGGACTGCATACCTTTAAGTTTTTCAGCCATCATTTCTCTCAACTAGGCTCTTAATAAGAGTAAGTAACAGACGGTATTGATTTTTCTGGCAAGGGCCTGGATTTTGTGCGTTGTTTTCCCCCCTGGACAATTTCTAAGGACGGTGATGTTCTTTCCTTCCATCTCCACAGTCTGCCATATAATGATGACTCAGTAAATATTTATCAAATGAATGGCTGTCAATAATTAGATTCTGATGATGTTTTGGGATTGGTGTTTGAAGTGTGTTTTGTTATATTGTATCAACCAAACAGTAGTGGAAGTCCATCTATACTGGGGTTTCTCATAAGCAGCATTACTGACATTGGGTCCAGATGATTCTTTGTATGGAGGGTTTTCCTGTGGTCTGTAGAATGATTATCAGTAGCATCTTTGGCCTATACCCACTAGATGCCAATAGAACCCCCAGTGGTAACAAAAATGCCCAGACATTGCCAAAGGTGCCTTGGTGGGACAAAATCGCTCCCCACTGAGAAGGATTTAGATCATGGGTTCCCACGATTACATGTAGAGAGATCAGAACGGTTTCAAAATTGCCTTTTCCATAGTTCGATATGTTTGGTTAAACCGTGACCGTTTAATTACATACTAAAAGAAAGGAAATGGAAGTGAAAAGTGCTGCCAATTTACAGTGTTATAAAGGAACAGGATATAAATGGTAGAGATTAAGTAAAATTATTTACTTCTTTAAAAATTAAAGGCTATAATTGAAATGTTGATCTAAAGAAAATTAGTAATGGCTCAATAATTGAACAAATGTTACCAAAATGATCCCATTTATTGGAGCTTTTAAAAGATTAAGTCCTACTTGGTCGTTTGTCTGTAATGTGTGGGGCATAGCCAAATATGAGACTGTTGCTTTTGGAAAGTGTACTTTTAAAATGGTCTGAAGGAGGAAATGATTTCTTTAAACTGTAGCCTGGTTTTGCTAATTTATAAGCAAAATGACTAAAGCTTACGTATACCATGAAGTTAATTATATTTCTTCTCCCTAGGAGCTCTCTCTAGCCTTGGCAGACATATGGTTTGACGATGTGATGTAAGTAGATGCATATTTTTAAAATCCTTGAGGGTAGTTGATATTGTGCTTTTAGAAAAATGACTTTTTAATGTCTGGGTTAGGAAATAGTATGTGACACGTGTAATGAATGGTGCTTTAAAACTTTGCAGAGGCAATCATTTGTGTAGTTCCTGACCTTAATCTTACTGCCATGGACTAGTGGCTGTTAAATGCTTCCATTTCCCCCATACCCCTCTTTGAATGGGAGTTCTGTAACCATTATTCTATCCCTTTCTCATATATTGGGTGTTTGGGGGAGGGGAGACAAAGAACTTATTTTCTCAGTTACAGATTTACACATTGAGAGGAGCAGTACCCAAGGATCCTCATTCACAGGCAGACCTGGGGCAGATGACAAGACCCTAGACTTTGAGCCAGTGAAAAAAGGTGATGAGGCTTTTGAGAGAGGGATGTAAATTGTGGCCAGGGCAGCAAAAGAAGCAAGTGATGGTGAAAACACTGTGGCTTCATTTTTTGGTACTACCTGGGAGATAGTACTTGAACTGCAAGAGTGAAGGGGATGTGAGCTGTGGAAGAAGGAATGGGGTGGTTCGGGAATACCCTATAATGAAGGCTCCAGAAGAAATACACAAAGGAGGAAACTACCCCATATTGCCCAGGAGAAGATATACTCCTTACAACATTGATTCTACAAGATAATGCAAAGGATAGATAAGATAATGCAAAGATTAGATTCCGAAGGTGGCATTTGCCCATAAGCACATCAGCTGTGAAACAAATTACTGTGGGAAAAGGTTTATTATTTGAGGTAGGATGGGCTTGCTTTTAAATTTCTATGCTACCACTTACTGATGCCACTTATCTTGGGTATTTAACACCAGCTGGATGGTATCTTATAAACCTTTCATTTGTTTTTGTATGCACTTGGGGAATATGTCAAATTAATTTATTAGAATCCTTAAATTTTTAGTAACCCACTCTAGTGTGAAAGGATGATGGCTCAGAATTCTGTCAAAAGGATCTTCTTCTGTCAGGTCTAAAGCTTACTCAGCAGAACCTGGTTTCAGCCCTAGTGATAGACAACAAATGAAAACAGCCCTTTATGTAATTTCTGTTTCTCATCCAAAAGCAGTTTATGATCATTTGTTTTTAGAACAGAATAGAAAACAGAAGATTGGCTCTTTTTATTTTGCAAGTAGGACTTTCGTTCTGAACAACCGGCTTACTGCTTATGCTTGAATTCCTTATCAGCTCACCAGGTCAGAATACCCTGGAAGAGCTGAGTGTTGACACCCAAATCCCAGACTTAGATGTGGCTTCATTAAGAAGGCAGCCACTGTGGGTAAGTGTCAGTCAGGAGATCTCATAAAAACAGTGATGGAGTCTAATGCCTGTTAGAAGAATCTTACTTAATTCTGTTGGAGAACAAATCCCAGATTCCTTTCATCCTGGTCCTCAGGCCTTGGGCTAAGAGGAAAGACATTTAACGCTTACTACATGTCAGAAACTGCTGGATCATCCCACATAACATTGTCTTACTTAATCCTCATATAATTTCCTTGTGAAATACTTTGTATTATCCCCATTCTTAATTCCTCGAATGCCCAAGTTTTTTCCCCCACCTTCTCAACTTCTATATATCCTAGTCCCACCTGGAATGGTATTATTTCTCCTCTTTGCCTCATAATCCCTCCTTGTACTTCAGAGCTCATCTCAGATGTTAACAACTCCAAGGAAGCCTTCCTAACCCCCTAGGTCTGATTCCCCATTGCACAATGTAATCACACACTATCTCAATAAGCACAAGAAATTATGGATTAATCATGTAATATCAGCTGTGCATGCAAAAGTGTAAGCTCCGCGAGGACAGGAACTGTGTCTGTGTCATTTTCCTGTGTTATTTGTAGTGCCAGGCATAGTTCCTTACCCATAGACACTCAGTACATAAAACGTCTGAATATGGCAAATAAATGCCGTCTATTAGAAGTTGAATGCTGTTCTATTATAACTCTGAAACTTTCTTTAAGTAACACCAGACTCAGAACCTAACAGGAAGTATTTCTAAATGAAATTGCCCAAGAAACTCTTCCTCAACTCTATTTCAGTTCTAAATTGGCTAACAATAAAAGTTATTCATTAATCTTAAGTACTGGCTAGGGTGTGGTTCTGAGAAAAGGAACTAAAAGTTTTCAAAAAGTCTCCCCAGTTTGTGTAGGTGAGCTCTTCAAAGAAGTCCCATGTTTCTGACAGCTAGTTTTGAAAAAAAGTGGTAGGACACGCTCCAGGACTACATGTCCCATTAGGAGACTTTAGAAAGAACAGAGATCGATGCTTCTAGTTTACCAGCAGTTCTGACTTCCTGCTGAGCTGAAACCTGCTTGTTTTGTGGAAAAGCAAAAACTCGGCAGCGAACATCTAAAATGAAGAGGCCCCGAACTTTTGAGGAGCAAACAGAATGCATCTTGAACACTTTACTCACAGACTTCTTAGGCACCCCGATGCAGGTTGCTAACCGGGACCTATGTTGTGGAGACGAACCAGATTCAGGTAAGACTCCTGGCCTGAGGTGCTGATTGCGGGTCAATAAGAGCGTCTGAGTATGCTTTCTTATTGCCTCCTAAGTTTTAAAAGGCAAACTAAGCTTTAAGCAATACCTGAAAATCAGTAGTTTCCATGGAAGGGAAAGATATTCTCAGTGAAGGGAGATTTTCTGACTATGGGGTTGAAAGGATATCGAAGGTGCTCTCGGGAGAGATCGATGCCACAATTGTTTGAAAGTCTAGAAAGCATTCTCCAATGCCCAGATTCCTGGGACTGGCCGTCCCTTCAAGTTGTATAACGCATGTGAATGTGTTCCTCCATCTTAGGAGAGCCTTGCTCTTTTGACGTGGCCATCATTGCTGGTCGCCTTCGGATGTTGGGTGACCAGTTCAATGGAGAATTGGAAGCTTCTGCCAAAAATGTCATTGAAGAAACCAGTCGTGGACGGGTAAAGTTGCTGCAGTTTTTCTGTTCCAGATGCTCCTTTCTTACCACTCTTGTATGACTATAACTAGAAATGTCCTGCAAAAGATTTGGGGGCTTATGTTCATCCAAGGAGAAACAGCAGGAATTCTCCAATTGCTAGGTGTTCAGGAGTTAATCAAAGGCCTAAGTGGTATTGAGAGGAAAATCTTCTGGCAAGGGCTGGTCAACCTTCAGATTGTTCCCATTTGTTTTTCAACAGAGCTGTGCTTACGTGACACGGAGCACATATGTAGCACTTTGTTCTTGGTAAAGCACTTTATTCTTTAATGCACCTATTTAATATTTATTTGGCTGGGAGTGGGTGTCTTCCTTCCCCCAACCCAAGGTCCAGCAATGAAATTATGTACTGGAAAGGCAGGCAGTCCTCAAGTACGTTTTAATGAGTACTGACAGCCGCCACCTAGGGCATATCTGGCTTTTCATCAGAATGCTGATTACTAGCGGTGGCACTTGGATGCTGCATTAGATGTAAAGACCACAGGCAGCGTTCTAGAAGATGTTGCTGCTTGTTATCAGTAATGGCAGATAATACAAACTTAACAGGTGCCAGGCAGTATTCCAAACACTGTGCACTTACTATCTCATTTAAACCTTCCACCAGTCCCTGGGGTATTATAGGAACTGAAACTCACAGTGCAACCTCCCCTCCTGTTTGTGGAATGCCGTGAGAGCCAAAATCTGACCTCTTTGTTCACTGCAGTCTTCACACAACCCAGCATAGTACCTCCTATACGGGAGACCCTCCATACATGTTTTCCTGACTCGCTATCCATTTAAGCAGATAAGGAAACTGAGGAAGAGGGAAACAAGAAATTAGGTTACTGAGTGAGCGTTGAAGTTAGGATTTTAACCCAGACTGATTCCAGAACCACACTCTTCACCATTATGCTTTATTCTTATGAAATATAGCTTGGATGGTACGCCCATTCAGGCAGAACTGGACTTATTACTCCTAATTGCTTGCCCTGAAACTTTCCTAGGTAGCCGAGAGCTGAATTTACTTTTGTTTTTTAATTAAAAAAAAAAAAAAACTTTTTTGGAACTTCCAAATTCATAGGAAAGTTGCACATAATTAGTTGTACAAAGAATTTCCCTCTTGAATCATCTGAGAGTAGGTAGTTGATAAAATGTTCCATCATCCCCTAATACTTTCACATTTCCTTCAAACAAGGCCATTCTTTTATATAACCACATCAAAACCAGGAAATCAGCACTGACACATTATTATCTTGTCCTCAGATCCCATTCAAGTTTGGTCAGTTGTCCCAGTGATGTCACATACAACAAAAAGATCTAGGCCAGAGTCAGATCCTGCATTTTGTTGTCCTGTCTCTTCAGTCCCCTTCAGTTTGGAATTATTCCTCAGTCTTTCCTTGATTTTTCATGATCTTGGTGCTTGAAGATTATGGGTCAGTCATTTTGTAGAATGTCCCTTAAACTTGGGTTTGTTTCATGTTTCCTCTTGAGTGGATTCAGGGTATGTACTTTTGGTAGGGAGGTCACAGAAGAGTTGCTGTGTTCTTCTCATTGCACCTTTTAAGTGGCACAGATTTTAATTTGTCCCATTACTGATGTTAACTTCAGTCACTTAGGATAGTATCTGCAAGGCTTCTCCACTGTAGTTAATATCTGTGGTTAATATAGTTAAGTGTTGTGGAGGTACTTTGAAACTATGTAAATATCTCCTATCTCATCAACATTTCAATCTATTCATTTATTTTTTATATCAACATGGACTCATGAATTCCTGTGTTATTCAAGGGGTGTAACCTGTTACTATCATTATTATTTGGATGCTCAAATTGTCTTAGCTTTGACCAGTGGGTGTCCTCACCACCTGGACTGTGTCTTTTTAGTACGTCCCTGTCATTCTGTGAGTACTTCCTTAATTTCTGACAGCTCTCTTGTATTTTCCAAGCCGCAGCCTGCAATCAGCCTTTTTCCAGGGAGCTCTGGTATCTTTAAATGGAGAATGATATTTGGAAACCAAGATCTGGTTACATATGTGGATGCCCTCTGCAGCTTATTTGGGTTCTGACAACTGCTCTGACTACCAAGGGTCCCCCTACACTATACCACAGTAGATATTGCTTGGCCCCACCTAATGACTTTTGGATCAGTTCTGAGGGGAATGAAAGAAGAGGAGGAAAAACAATTTTTTTTTTAAACTTTAGAATTTCACAGACTTCAATCATTCAAGTAATACCTCTACAACTCGACCAGCTGTACTATTGTGTACTTGATATTTTTCTTTCAAATCACTTTTTACTTTCGGCCCTTTTTTCATGTCTTTAATAATATCTGAAATTATGGGTTTGATGGGCTACTTATGTTTTCTCTGTACACGTTACAATGAATAACAAAATAACACTCCTTAAGATTACCTAGATATGATCAGATACAATGTACTTGCCATTCTCTAGGAAACTCTTGCTCTACTGGACGCCTGCCCCTGCAGTCTCCTGTACCTTTATATCAACACTTCACTGATATCCCGTGTCTCTCTCCAGGCAGGAGCTGCACTTCAGGACACAGTCAAAAGTCTTAGGCTTGGTGTGCTCAGGATTCCAGCTTAGCTTATGAGAGAGCCTTTCTGGCAGTGTCAGTGAAGCTTCTTGAATACATGGCCCACATCGCTCCCGAAATGTCAAGACAGGTCGTTGTCTCCATGACAAGCATGATCAATGGGAACAATGCCATCCAAGAGTTTGTCCAGGGCCAGGGAGGCTGGGTAAGTATGTCGGGGCCCCTGGCTTTGATAGGCATTTGCACTGTTTTTGTACTAATACCCAGGACTCCCAATGCCTGATTCTTTCTGTAAGTTGGAAACCAAGTAGAAGAACAGGTCTCCCTACTTTGCTGAAAATGGCAGTTTGTTGTTTTGTTTTGCTTTGTTTTTCCCCATGGGAAGGGGAGCAGTCAGAAGCTCAGGACTCTAGGTGTTGGACTCCAGAGATACTTTGCCTAAAATTTTAGTTGACTCCTAACAGTGTAAAGCTAAATCCCGCTTCCTATATATAACGGCCTGTTAAGTATACTGGTGATAGAGTACTAGCCTCAGTCCCGCTTCAGAAATTCAGAATCATCCCCTGTCATCTCACAACAAACAGTGCTATCTGCTGCTGCGGTAACTATAGGAGGCATTCTAAGCCCATGTCTTAGTAATCATTAGAACATCTGCTCTCGCTGAGCATTCCTCTTCATTTCCAGCAGCAGCAGAGGCCTCAGTAAGAGCTGTACTCCCTGGAGGTGTCTGCAGATTATTTGTGCTTTCTTTAGGATGCTCCCTTTACAAAGAAGTCCCTTTGACTGTAGGCTATTCCCTGTCCTTCCTAGGAAAACCTGGAGAGCTGACTACGAAGCGGTGGCGCTGTTTCCTAGCTTCAACATCACTGCCACTTTGATCCAGGGATTAACTGCTGGCCATTAAAACAGACAACCAGGGGCACCTGGGTGACTGGTGCTTTCAGCTCAGGTCATGATCCCAGGACCCTGGGATCAAGCTCTGCATCGAGCTCCCTGCAACCCTATTCCCACTCCCCTTGCTTGTGCTATCTTTCCTTTGGAAAAGCTGCTTTCCTTTGGACACAACTGGACTTAGCTGAATAATTTCTTTTCCACCAATTGCTAAAATTGGGAGCAGCCCTCGGAGGTCTACAGAGATTTTGTACTTTCTGTCTTTACGTGAATTTGGAGGAGGTTCCATTTAAGCCAAGACCTCCAGATACAAAGTAATGGTTTGTTAGGAGGAAATTTCAAGGCAACAGAGCAGGCCTCTGCTGGGCATATTTTGGGAAAGGGAACACACGGTAAACTATTAGTTCAGATTGAGCCCTGTCCTTTGGTAAGGATCTTGTCTATTTATTTTGCAGTCTAAATGACTACAAGGGAGATTTTTGTTGAAATCTTGTTATAAGTTGAGGATTTTCTTTTAAATTCCTATCCTTAGTTTTGTGTTAATTTCACCAAAGCAGAATCATTTTATGCATTTTTAGGTTGAAAGCAAAAAAAAACCAGTTTCTTCATCTGCCCTTCTAAGAGAAAGGCCAACAGAAGATAAAACAGTGCGTTTTTACTGCCACAGGATGCAGGAAGTGCTGGCCCACATCTAGGACAGTGGGGCCATCCCAGCTTAGATGAAACTAGCTGCATACCACAGTGTTTTTCAAACAAAGTGCTTTACATATCACTTATGGACCTTATGAATTGCTGATTTCCAGGCCCCATCCCTAGAGATTCTGATTCTGTAGGGTCAGGCTGGGGCCTAGGAGCCAACCCTTTTAGCCAGTTCCACAGGGCATTCTTATGTCCATATAGGACTTGAGCACATTCATGTTAGAACAGGGGCCGGCCAAATCCTGCCTGCTGCTTTTTGTGTCCACAGGTTTATCAGCAAGCAGCCGCACTCACTTGTTTCCATGTTGCCCATGCCTGTATTAGCACTTCAGCGGCACAGCTGAGGAATTGCAGCAGATCCCTAATGGCCTATAAAATGTATTTACTATCTGGCCCTTACAGAAAGGCATGTAGATGCCTGCTTTAAAGCTAAAAGCTAAATGAACATTTCTCTTCAAAGAATCTAAATTCTGTTGCAACCCTGATCATTCGTGCCAAACACAATGGTATACAGGACAATTTTTTTTTTTTTTTTTTTAAGAATTCAATCTAAGAGTGTTTGTCAGTTCCTCCATAGTCCACACTTTCTTGAGCTCTTTGGCAAATCAGAAAGCTCCGGGACCCCTGGATAGTCAGTCAGTAGAGGGTCTACGTTTCCCCAGCCCCTACCTTAAGTGATTGGAAGTGAAGCCTGTGGTATCTGCAGGTGTATCTTGTAGTAATCCTTCATAATCTCATAGATTAGTAGGCAGTCATCACATAGAGACTCTTACATTCATAAACCCCAAGGCTAGACTACTTAGTGGATTGTCAAGAAGAAAAGCATTGCTATATCTATTTTTAAAGAGAGACATTAATGGTTTGGTTACAGTTTGGCTCAAGTGTAACCACATCCCCTCCCTCCAGCAACCAGCTATCTGTTTCCCCTAAATGCATAGAAATAAATATGTAGCACTGCTGCTATATTTTGACTTTTTCAAGTTATGCTATTTCCTCTCTTCATGGGCAAATCACAATAGGTTAGTAATCCCAAATGAGATTTCATGTTTCTCTTAAGTAGAAATTAGCTTTTTTTTTTTTTTTTTGCTACCAAGTTAAGACACTCAGTGTATTCCTTTGTCCCTACATTACTGTAAATTCAACATGGTAGGTTTTGTGGTATTTTACTTCTTGGGTGAAATCGCTATTTTCACTTTGACCAATGCTGTTTTGTTCATGAAATAAAATTGTGTCTATGTATTTGAATTAATTCTCGGTAAATGCAATCTCAGTTGAATGACAGAGAAACAACAGATTGGTGGCTGTCAGGGGCAGGGGTTGGGAGGTAGGAGAAATAGGTGAAGGAGGGCAAAGGGTATATAACCTTCCAGTTATAAGATAAAGAAGATCTGGGGATGTGATACACAGCATGGTGACTGTAATTAACAATATCATATCATATGTTGAAAAGTTGCTAAAAAAGTAGATTTTTAAAGTTCTCACCACACGCACACACACACACACACACACACACACACACACCTCACATTATTTATTTTTTTTATTTATATATTTTTTATAAGTAGTGTCTACACCCAACAGGGAGCTCAAACTCACAATCCCAAGATCAAGAGGCACAAGTTCCACTGACAGAGCCAGCCAGATGCCCCAAAACAAATTGTTTAGCTAGGCGAGGTGATAGATGTGTTAACCAACCTTATTGTGGTAATCACTTCAAAATACATACATAGAGCAAATCATTACGTTGTATGCCTTAAATTTATTATACAAGTTATATGTCTGTTATATCTCAATAAGCTGACAAAGTAAATGACAAACGTCAGAGGCCAGCAGCCTCCTCTTTGTCTTTTCTTTTCCCACTTCCCTGTTTTATGCTATATATGCCAATGAAACGTCAGAATATGAATCTGCCTCCAAGTATCTTGAGATTAAGGGTATTGTGCCCCCGGGGATTATACCAAGTGAATAGGAAAATCACCCTCTCCTAGGAGGGCTGAAGTGGTGGGGTGGCAGAAAGAAAACACATAGCCCAGAGATTCCGGATACCTTCAGACCGTCTGATTTTAACAATTTAGTTTCACCATAGACTAATCACGTGACACTGGGCCAGTAATCCAATTCCTTTGTGCCTTAGTTTCCACATTCTAAAAGAGAAATGATTGGGTTACTAATTCGTAGGATTGTGGTGAGGGATAAATGAAACGATACACTGTGGGAAGGGCTTAGCCCAGTTTCTGGACTGTTTTGAGAACTGCACCATGAACAGTTTGGGGCTGCTGTGATTTGGAGTTCATAAAATTCTGCCTTGACTTTTTTCTCTCCACTGACACTATCTCTCACAAAGGCAAGCCAGCCTTCTGGCTTTACCTCTCACCTCAATGTGGGTGATTCCCATATCTGACTTATTTCCCTTCTTCCTAAATCCACATACACAAGCTCTAATTCTTCATGTCTATGTACCTTTCTTATCCCCTATACTTTCCCAGACGGCCATCCAGCTAGCTCGAAAGCTTAGTCATGTTTCCCTATTCCCTCTGTCCAGTCTTACACACACAATTAGTCTTCCTCACTTATTCTTTCTTTTTGTTCTAATTCTCTCACAAGAGTTTATTGCCAAGCCTCTTAGTCAGGCTGTTAATGGATCATTCTGTTCCAGGCTCGCCCCACACCAGTCTGTCCTATATACTGCCACCAGATTCACCAAAGCTATGGTTTCCTTGTCTATTCTTTTGATCCATTTTTAGATACGACATAATTCATTTTGAAAATTTATATACTACTGAAGGAGGTGAGGAGACTTCCAAAAAAATTATCAGAAGGGACCATTTCTTTAAAAAAAGATATTGAGAAACATTGCTTTGACTGCCATTTTCTTAAGATTTTCCAGTGGAAATTTTGAAGATGATTGGATAAGTTCCTTATCCTGATTGTGATGATGGTTTCATGGCTGTGTATACATTTCAAACTTATCAAACCACACACTTTGAAATGTGCAGTTTATTATATGTCAGTAATACCTCATAAAGTTATTACTAAAACAAACAAACAAACAAAACCTTCACCGGTTTTCCACTGCCCATCAAATAAAGCCTGACTTTTCAACATGGTATTCAAATTCCCTCAGGGTCTGTCTCCAACTGCCCTTTCTAGCCTTGTCAGTCAGGATTCTACAGAACCAAGGCTCCCATCAGACTGAGCCACTCAATAGGCCACCCAACTCCTATTGTTCTTTCTCTCATAATGCTTCTTCTCAGGTTCTTTGACATATTCAAGGCCTAACTCAAATGCTGCTTCCTCTATGAAGGCTATCCAGATAACCCGAACACAAGATCTTTGCCTCCTCAAAATTTTGTTAGCATAACATTTATGGCCTTACCACATATGGCCTTAAGTTATAGTTATTTGTGTACTTAGCTTCCTTACAAGTATAAAAGAGCTTTGAATGAAGACAATTTGTTGTACACATCTGTAGTGCCCCTTGTCCCCATTCTCTTGCTTGTATATAGCTCTCATAAGTATTCATTAAATAAACAGACTCAATAAACAATCAAACAAAAGATAAACATCAAGTTTGATTAGATTTTGAACAAGGTGCCAAGCCCAAGAGTTTAAAAAAAAAAAAAAAGGTAAATTGCATCAATTGAAAATCATCAGTGGACTTTTGCCCTCTGAGGATTGCGTTTCTGAAACTGAAGGCAGAGCATGATTTCCTGTGGAATGTGGGGAGGTAACTACGAAGTTCACAGCAGCTGAACTGAAGAGCTTGATGAGGTCTCGGAATCCTGTAGTGACCAGAAGCTATCATGACCAGAAGCTGGGGAGGGGATCTTCCTGCTGTGGGTGAGGTAAAAACACAAAGCAAAGCAACAAGCTTCTTGTGTAAGCCTCACCCATGTCCTTTTACAGAAGGGAAACTGGATCTATTGTGGAGAGGAAGGAGGTCATTTTTTCCCCAGCCATGGCAGCCCTGCAGGACTGAACTCTTGCCTCAGTGATGGCAGCCCCATTCCTTCCATAACAATGGCCCCCGCTGCTGGGCAGCAGCCCTCAGGCAAGTGGCCTTTGCCAGGTTCCTGATGTCCCTGTAGGGAAGGCCCATCTGCTCCTGGCAAAGTGAAAGTGCTGGGCAGGAGACCTGGAGTCATTGTTGCAGTGAGTAAGCAAGTCGGGGTGGGTGTCTTACCAATAGCCAACCACATTATGTGGCGTCCTTGATCACCATAGGCTTATTTCATGTGTGCTTAAGACCAGGGGTAAGGACTTAGGGTTACACAGACGCATATAGAAGACACTAGCATAAACTTAAAAGACCAGCGGGCCGTTTATGTGGTTTTTTAAAAAATTAACTCTCCTAAATAAACTTATGGGAGACAAGGAACACCTGAAGAAATGAAGAAAACTGCTATGGCTGAATATAAAGACGTAATTCCGAGAAGAGGCCTCCTGAGAGAAGTTTATTGGTGAGATGGCGTCAGGGGCAGAATTGTTGAAGAGAAGAGTAACCAGGATTTACAGCTTTACTTCATCTTGACGAAAATTAGGGGAAAGGCGAGAAGTAGCACATGAGGTGGCAGTAGCGTGAGCAAGGCCTGTGGGGGATGTGGCTAGGTAGTTTGGGTGGGGACACACAGGGAGGGGCTTGGTAGCTAGTGGAAGAATCTGGATGCGTTCCTCTAAACCATGGGTAACTACTTCGGGTCTTTGAGCATTAAAGTGGAGTTTTAATAACATTTATCCAGTCTTGGTTCTAGGAGATGCAAGCACGGAATATAGGAGAGAGTGCATTGAGATTGCTGCGATTGCTGCAGCAGTCCACATGTGCAAAAGGGCCCGGAGGTCCACATGGGAATGGAAAAGACTGCTTGAATCTACAAGACGTTGAGGAGAAAGGACAGGCAGGCCTTGGTGACCCAGGGCATGCTCACAAAGAACCCAGTGTCTCACAGATAATACACAGAGCCCATAACAAACCAATGACCCTGCGAGGCAGAGAAAGGCAGGCATAGTGAAGAGGAAGCAAAGATTGATAAGTGGCTTCCCCAGGGTAGGACAGGCTCTGCAGAGGGAAAGAAGGATGTGCTGAGAAACCTGAGTGTATTTCCCATTAGCTAATAATCATTGTCCTAATAATCTCCCCTGATATTCTCTCCGGTTCAAGGTTTTTTTGTTTTGTTTTGTTTTTGTTGTTGTATTTTTTTTTTTTTTCCATCTAATTCCAACCTCCATGACAATGATGTTCCCCCTTACACTGGCACACTTCCCTCTTGCTGGTGCAGGTGATTGTGTGACAAGCCCTCCTCCCTGCTGTCCTCTTCCTCCTGAACACTCCACAGAGCCACAGGGGGCAGCAGTGAGGCGTTCCTTCCTCGTCTTCTTCAGGTGCTCATTCACTTTTACTTTCCACTAGAACTCACCCCTGAGGGTTCTGACAGAGAGCTCATGTGGGTCTTTTACTGCATGGAATTGTTGCGTTCACTCAGGGTTTACACCAGACTGGCTTAAATGTTTCATCACAAATTCGCAAATTCTTTTAGGTACTTGCCGGTCTTTGCTGTATAAGATATTCCTCCCCTCCCCCAGCTCTTGATCTGCCCACAAGATATAAATGAGTCATCAGAATCTTTATCAAAAAGCATGATGCCCCTTTTGTCTGTAGACACCTGTGAGTATCTGTAGAAGGAAGTGTGAACAATTAAGTAGCAGCTTAGATTTGTTAAAAATAAAACTGAAGTTTTTTGTTTTCTCCTTCAGTTTTGTTTTTTGCTCGCTTGAGTGGTCTACTCAGGAAATGGTCTTTCAGCTAAGTGGGTTTTTGAGGTTTGGTTATTTCACCATGTTTCTGTCTCTTTTGGTTTTAGAGTGGAACAGACTCCTAAGAATTGCTGTTTGCTTTAAAAAAAAAAAATCTGCAGTTCTGCTAAGACACTATTTTTAGATTATTATATTTGGGGTAAAAGGACTACAGAGGGCATCTCAGTGAGTTTCTCCTCATCTCTTATCTATCTCTATCTTAGCTCTCCCCAAGAAGAGACTGAAGTTAGAGACTGTTCTGAAATATGAGCTTGAGAAAAAGAACACTACGTCTTATTTGATTAGGTCTCTTTTTGTTTATTAATTAGTAAATTTCTGGTTTGGTTGGAAGTGATTACATTCTAAGGGGACAGAGAGATTATGAAACTCTCTCTCTCATTAAAATATGGAAAATCATTTTCTTTTTCGGATTATGCTTTGGTACTCTGCAAAGGAGCAAGTTACTTTGGAATGTTTTTATTTTAATTAGTAATTACATCTGCGTCTTAGTCCTGAGATGCTTTATTAAGTGGTTAAGGGTTCTTTTCACTATATTCTGGCTTGTTCGCTACTGCCTCCCCAGTCCTACTATGGTGCTTAGCGTTTAGTGGGCACTCAATAAATTTGTTGAGCCAATTGTTGGATTTTTATATCTTTTTTGTAATTAAAAATGGCATAAGAATTTTAAAAGACTTTTAAAAAGTAAAAGGGGTGCCTGGGTGGCTCAGTGGGTTAAAGCCTCTGCCTACAGCTCAGAGCCTGAGCCCAGGATCCTGGGATTGAGCCCCGAATCGGGCTCTCTGCTCGGCAGGGAGCCTGCTTCCTCCTCTCTCTCTCTGCCTGCCTCTCTGCCGACTTGTGATCTCTCTCTGTCAAATAAATAAATAATTTTTTTAAAAAGTACCCTTGATCCCAGCACTTACACAATTGAGCTTTTTCTGCATCACTTAGTCTTCATCAAACCTCATAACATAGTTTTAAAGGGTTTTAGTTATTGTGAACTTTAGATTTTGTGCTTTTGAAGTCTTCCCCCCGCCATATTTTATATGTCTTAAAATAACCAAATTAAACATCGCATTTGTTAGCACAACAAAAATTCCCCTTTAGTGCTAATTGGAGAAATACTGTCCCACTCTCAACAAGTATTGTTGGAGAACTATGCTTCATTTTAATTTATTATGTGGCTCAGGATTGCAATTCTCTATTGGCTTCACCTGCCTATAAGCAGGATCCCTCCAACACCGTTCCTTTCTTGTTGTGGGGCTCAATAAAGTGGAGGCGACTTCACAGTGCTTGGAGCCATGATTTCCTGAAGGGAGTCTGAATAATGCAAAACAGAAAGGATTGCTAATATCTTAAATAGAGGAAGCTCTCATGGCACATTTCCCAGTTTTCTTCAGGATTATTTCAGACTAATTTTGTTAACAATTATTTATGGAACTTCTGTCCTCAGGCAAAGAAGATATGCTGATTTTGGGTTGCGCTTAGTCTTAAGTAGGTTTGTACCCATTGAGGAGAGGATTTATTCAAGCTGAGATGTGGAAGCTTTTTCTAGAACAGCCCGCCTGTCAAACAGGGCCAAAATGCCACATGCACAGCGTGGCTTCCTGAAGCGATGGCCTTTTCCAAGGCGCCAGTTGGGAGGGTAGAATGTCTTCTCTAGACTCAGCTCATGCTTTCCGCCCTGAAAGTTACACTGTTGCCAGCAAGGTGGGTGATTTTACTCTTTTTCTGTTCCTTATAGTTAACTAGCATTGCATAAGGAGACATTGTGCCAACTTCCTGGTCAGGTGCCAAGGGGGCCACTGTGCTCCTGGATCCCATATAGATCAATGCTCAGTCCTGAAATCAACAATACTTCCCTTAAGCAATTCGGCACTTCCCGAGCCCTGGGAGAGACACAGGCTGTCAGAAGCAGCTGACTTTGTTTCATCCAAAAGAGAATTTGAGGTCTATACAGCATACTTAAAATTTCTGAACAAAAATGCCTTCTCTGATGAACAGAAATTTCCCACTGATCACATGGACAAGACACTTTGGGGAGAGTAGCACAGGCAGAAGATGTTTTAACTCCAAACAGTGTCTGTCTTGCTTTCTGGCCCTAGCTGAACTTGGCTGAGTTCATTTGGGACGTGAGGAAACAGAAGGTATCAACAGGGCCCTTGTGTTCACTGAAGAAATGGGGAGAGGCAGATCCAATCCGTGAGACCTGGCACACTGCCTTTTCTCTAGGAAACAAGAAAAAAGGTGAATCTCGCTTAAAAGGGATGGAGTGGAACAGTCTCAGAGCTAAGCAGACCACGTGTGATGCTCTGGTTAGCCTCTTGTTTGTTGCAACTCGAGTTGTAACCGGGTTCCTTTCTTGAAAAGGAAGGCGCTAGGGCCCTGGAGTGATGATGGCTTTGTTGTGTGACCACAGAGGCTGGTTGCGCACTAATTTCCTCTAGGGCTTGTGATGAAGTCAGTTAACCACAGCCTTCAACATGCTCTGCTCCAGCGGCAGCCCTGGCTCCTTGGTGGTATCTCGGCCATGACATACATATGACATGCCCTCCCTTCACCCACTGGCAGACCGTTTCTCTTGTCCTGCAGCATGGACCAAAGGGAAATTCTGCACAAATTCCTGGAGGAGGCCCAACGCAAGAAAACTGACAAAGAGGAGTTTGCCGGTGAATTTCTGGTGAGTCCTACATGTGACACTCTTAGGGGAGTTACACAGACTGTTGAACTGATGAGGATGGTCCAACTCTCCTAGACCAAATTGCTCTTGGGAGAGAACGTGCATATCAGACTGTGCAGGGCAAGAAGGGAGAAAGGAAACCTAAAACTCCAACTTTTCTACAAGTTTTTTTTTTTTTTTCAAGATTTTAATTTATTTATTTGTCAGAGAGAGAGAGGGAGGGGGAGCAGCAGACAGAGGGAGAAGAAGGCTTCCCGCTGAGCAGGGATCCTAATATGGGACTCAATCTCAGGACCCTGAGCCAAAGGCAGACACTTAACTCACTGAGCCACCAGATGTCCCAAACTGCAACTTTTCTTTCTTTGTTGCTTTTGTTTTTGTTTAAAGACTCACTTTTTTTTTTTTTTTTTTTTTTTTTTTAAGATTTCACCCATTTATTTACAGAGAGAGAGAGAGCCATAGCGAGAGAGGGAACACAAGCACAGGGAGTGAGAGAGGGAGAAGCAGGCTTCCCACTGAACAGGGAGCCCCATGCAAGGCTCGATCCCAGCACTCTGGGATCATGACCTGAGCTGAAGGCAGTTGCTTAATAGACTGAGCCACCCAGGCACCCCCCAAACTTCAGCTTTTCTAAGTGGCTTGTGTGTTTTAAGTATTATCTCCAAAATACTATTTTAAATATTGTGTTTGCTAGTTCTTGGAGTTGGACTAGGATTCCTACAGAAGGCCTACATAATTCCAGGTTTATAAATACTCAACATTAATTGAACATCTGGAGTTCCTAGGTATCTGAGTTGTGCCTTATGCCTCAAATGACTACTTTTACTTAATATTAAGAGGAAAGAAACCAAGATTAACTTTTCATGGAACATTATGTGTTAGCCTCCCCATGGAATTCCACTTGAATGACAAGGGCTCCTGCGCCTTGAAACTACTGGCTGCCATATTTCTTCATTTCTTCTTTTATTTTTCTGGTGTATTTTCTTAAGAGGAAAAATGAGAACCTGTGTTTTTTGCAATAACAGGGTTTCCTTAGGCTTCTTTTGCTTGGAGGGGTGGAATGGCTGGGATGAGGAGTAGAGACAAGTGAGGGGCATGGAGACAAACATGAGTGCCAAGGAGAGTAGGGCTGACTAGATCTGGTCATCCAGGGAAACGCTGCATCTCTTCTGACGGGACTGTGGTGACTGACCCATCAGCAGCTGGGTAGGCCTCATTCACCCTATAACCTAGCACAGCAGAGGACATGGGATATCTGATAGTACCTATTATGTACTTTGGAATACTTCCAGCTGGTGTTTCAGGGCCCTAAAAACTTGAGGCCTTGGCTCTTCAGATGCAAAGAAGTGGGAAAAACAAGAGAGTTGAAGCAGAAAACCTGAAATCAAATCATGAGTCTCTCATCAACCGAATTATCAACTCTTTGACGTGTTCCTTCATTTCCCAAGTCTTTGTTTCCTAACTTCCAAAATGGGCATGATAATTCACATTCTACGGATCCTCACATCTTGTCGTGACAATTAAATATCAGTAATAGTTAAATGTGCTCATTCATTCAGGAATATTTATTGAGCCCCTCCTGTGTACCAAGTTTAGTTCTAGGCCCTGAGGATACAGCCATGAACAAGACAACACCTCTGTGCTCATGGACCTGACATTCTGATCCCAGAGAGTAGCTGTGAAAACACTCTGTAAAGCTGAGTGATTGGATATTATGACTGAGTGATTATATGTTGTGAGAGAAGCCCTTATACCAACTCAACTTGACTAATATTATTTTCCATTCAATACCCAATTGATCTTCTAATAATACAAACCTGGTCAGTTTCCCCTGCTTAAAAACATTGTATAGTTCGTATTTTTTTCAGCTGTCTAAAATTGTGAAACATAATACATTGTTAGAAAATTACAGACAGGGGCGCCTGGGTGGCTCAGTGGGTTAAAGCCTCTGCCTTCGGCTCAGGTCATGATCCTAGGGTCCTGGGATCGAGCCCCATATCGGGCTCTCTGCTCAGCAGGGAGCCTGCTTCCCTTCCTCTCTCTCTCTGCCTGCCTCTCTGCCTACTTGTGATCTCCATCTGTCAAATAAATAAATAAAATCTTTAAAAAAAAAAAAGAAAATTACAGACAGCATGTATAAGTATAATTATAAGGTCAAGGACTAGAACATTCTCGGACTCAGGGAGACCCCTCTATATCGCTTCTCCAGCAGGTCCCTCACCCCCACTCCTATCCCCATCCCCACCCCCAATATGTCTTGCCCTGTCCTGCCCAGGGAATAATCACTATCCTGACTTTTATATTAATCACTTCCTTGCTTTTCTAGCTCTTGGTTTTAAGGACCTTGTTTTGGGGTGGTGATTAAGTGGCACCTCACTGTTCACTGACTCATGTCCTCCAGCGGAAAAACAGAGTCTTGCCCTCAGCTCCACCTAAAGGTTCAGCTGAGATACCAGAGACATTCATTTTGGGGGAGTTGGGTGGTGGTGAACAGGGCTCGGTTGCTTGCTTGGACAGGTCAATACTGCCATTAACTTGAAGGGCTTTCCATAGGGTACTGTCCCCCATCCCACCTTCAACTCTTTGATGTATTCTCCCAGGATTTGATGTTTTTGAGGTTGGAGCACTAATTCTGTGACATGAGGCCACTGCTAGCCTAAATGGTAGTGACTTTGCGGGAATTATAGAAAGTCATCTCTGGTTCCAGGGAGACAATCTGTGTACCCTCCCTCCCGCCGGGTCCGAGGCTTGGATTTCAGTCCCCGCCCCCACCCCCTTGGCTGTGTATCAGCGCACAGAGCACATGGTGCTGGTACGCCGGCTGAAGCCAATACCATGGAGCTGAGGACTTTTCCTTTGCCAACACTAAATTCAATCACCTTTCTGTAGCAGAAACTGCCATGAAACTAGTGGAAGTTTAGTTCCACTAAACTTGGCTCTTACTGGAGTGGAAACTGCCACGACTATAAGCTTTTCCCGCATTCATTCACGTGTTTACTGAGCACTTACTATGTGCAAAGCATTGTGTTAGATGCTGCAAGATACAATGTCCTGCTTTGGTGGAGCTCATCTCCTAAGACATCAGAGGATGCCATAGACAGGCAGACATTAAACAGCTGATTACACCGGTAAATACTGAATGGTGATAGTCTTGGTGGGGTGCCAAGAAGGCATTGTATTCATTATCTTATTTATTACTCATTTAAAAAACACAAAACCGATCTTGTCGTTATGACCGCTGACTCACAGATGAGAAAACTGAGGCTCTGAGAGGTTAAGTAATTGGCCTAAGCTCAAGCCGCTGTTCAGATGCAGATGTGAAGCTTAAGCTGGATCTGTCATTTCAGAGCCCAGGAAATGAATCCTTATGCAGTAGTGTCTTGGTTCAGCCAGTAGCACCGAGTTCCTCAAAGGGTTTTTAGCCTGAGCATAAGTTCTCAGTTAGTATAGTTTCTTTCATTCTCTCTCTCTCTCTCTCTTTTTTTAAGAGAGAGAGAGAGAGTGAGAGCCCAGGGTTTGGCAGGGAAAGTGGGGGAGGGGGACAGAGAGCTAGGGAGAGAATCTCAAGCAGACTCCCCTCCCGGCACAGAGCCTGACTTGGGGCTCAATTTCATGATCCTGAAATCATGACCTCAGTGGAAATCAAGAGTCCTACCCTTAACTGACTGAGCCACGCAGGTACCCCATATTGTTGTTATTCATATAAAACAATATTATTGCAAGTTAAAATAAATTCACCGTAGGACCAATATCCCAACAAATACAGTCTACTTGGTGTGGAAATTCTAGTTCTTATCTATTTATATACTGACTTTTACATTGTTATAATGACAGAATAGATACAATTTTGTATTCTCATATTGTCACTTAATATTATACCAAAATTATCATGTTAATTAAAATCTATATTTATGGCTTTTGATGGAGCATGGTATAATGAAAGAATAATCCTCATAATAATAGCTAATACTTCCATATTTCTTGTAGAAACTGTTCTAAACACCTTTACGTATCAAGTCATTTAATCCATTGAAGAAGGTACTGTACATTTTATAAATGAAGAAACTGAGGCAGAGGTTAATTGACTCGCTCAAGGTTAGAGAGCTAGGAAGTGGTGGAACAGAGATTTAAGTTCAGGTAGTCTTGATTTACCATCTATATTTATAATGACTTCAGTGTCATATAAACCTGAGTTCGGATTTAGGTTCTGCCTATCATTAGCTCCATGACCTTGAACAAAGTCATTAAAAAGTGGGAATAAATAAATATTCATATTGCAGAATGCTGCGAGAAAAATGGAATAAATACATAAAATGCCTGACATGTGGTAGACACCCAAGTAATTTGATTTTTTCTTTTTCTTGGACATTTAGATTGTTTCTAATTTTTCACTATTATTAATAACATGCAATAAATGTGCTTGTCCACATGGTTTTCTTCTTTTGAATTATATCCTGGGGCTAGTATCATTACCAGGTCAAAAAGTCTTCGCATCTAATGGGCTAAGTGTTGCCAAATGTGCTTTTCAAAGAGTTTTTCTAACTTGCAAAGTCTGAATGTATCATCTTTTCTACCATCTTGCTAGTCTTAATAACTATACAAGAAAATAAATCTTTTGGACTCCTTACTATATGTTAGTCATTAAGTGGTTTACCATATATAATCTTAATCACTACAACAACCCCAAGAGGAAAGCATTATCTTCAGTTAAGCCATGAAATGGCAAAGCCAGGACTTGAAACTGGTCTCATAAAAAGTCCTTAACCTCTATACTGCATCCTAACATCCTTCCTACTCCCCGCCCCCAAGTTAGTGTAAAATAGTACTTCATTGTGTTAATTTTATTTATTTGATTTTGAAGCCTCAAAATTTTTTTTGATTCTTTTCTTTTTTTTTTTATAATCAAAGTATAGCTGATGCACAGTGTTACATTAGTTTCAGGTGTACAACATAGAGATTCCACAACTCTATACTCCATGGTTATTTTCAACCCACATTTT